CTTTAAATCATTTGCCATCATGATGCATGACATATCCAATAATTTGTCACCTTCTAACATATGTAAATTATTCACTTATCAAGCTAATATTCAGCCCCATAAGACAACATCCTCTTCAAGAGGCGACTATTTTGTTCAAAATTCAAGATTAGATATACAAAAAAGGGCATTTTCAAGAAATGGTGTTAGAATCTGGAATAGCTTGTCTTGTGAAGTGCACCAGCTATCAAAATACAACTTTAAGAGTAAAACTCATGATTTCCTCCTCCAGAGACTCGAAAAATATGACGATTATATTGATTTGTCTACTTTAATAGCACAACTATAAGACCCCAGCTTGTTCTGTTTTCTTGCCATATCTTAAATGCATTAAATGTAGTTGTAATTTGTTTAGAATTTTGAATCTCTTGCTCTGTAAATCTTTTTATTTTATATTTTATAATATACGTATTAAACACTGCCCGCCTCGACTAGCCTTTGCTAACTGCGGGCAGTGCATATTAATTTTTTGTAATATTGTAATATATCATTGTAATTTATCATTAAAAAACTCATTAAAAAACTCAATTTACAAGAAAATGTGTAACAGCTAAAAGAAAGAGTTAACAATTAGATCGTGGGAGTTAACAGGTTATGGTAAATACCAAATCTTGGATGGATTGACTCTACCATATTTTTTTATCTATTTCCTTGGAAATGGTTAAAAGAAAATTATTGTTTTTTCCTGCTTGTTTATGATTACCATTATAGCAACAGAGCAACCTCTTAGTTATGTTCTTCCTGCCTCACTAAGTACCTATGGTGTAAAAAGTTCTAAATCAGAGAAAACAAGAGAACCTCTGTCTTGGGAAGTCTGTATAATGCATGTGAAATGCTAACCTGACATGATTTGCAGTTTTCACCTTTTTCCCATCCACAGTCTGTACCACATTTGCCATAAAAGGGAGGGTGCCCAGACAACATAATGTATCTGGAAAAGAAAAACAATACAAAAACAAAACATTTACTTTTAATTAATCACTGAAAGTAGTGCTCAGAATACAAATAAAAGTTACTTTTGGGGAGAATATTATATGTGGAAATAGAATCAGAAAGAGTTTGCATACAGAATTACTCCAAGGCTCCACAAATCACATCTTTTGTCATATGTTGTAGCATGAGTTTTGAAAGCATCCACTACTTCAGGTGCCATATATTCAGCTGAGCCAACCTAGGAAAAAAAACATGTCATCAAGAACTGATCTAAAATTCAATAATACTTTGTTCAATCCCTTTGCTGGAAAATAGGAGCTTAGTAGAAATAAAATCTCCTAAACTGAGCTAAAAATTATTGTTTACATAAAGAATTGATATTTACTGGCGTCTGAAGTTCTGGTGTTGTCACTGCAGCACTGAGTCCATCAAGTCCACTTGCAAGGTCAAAGTCACAAATCTTGACAGGGGATATCTGATTAAAAGCAAAAGTGACAAAATCAAGGGTTAACTCTCACCTCTAGAATCAAAACAATAATTCCTCCTTCCATCTATTAAACATATCCTTGAAAATCAGTTTGGAGAATTTGGTGTTTTATCAGCTGGTGTGGACAAAATAGCCTCATCACTGATTTGCAAATAATGCATAGACATTGTGAGGAGTTTTTTTTTCAATCACTGAAGTTGGTAATAAAAATACCCAGCATGAACATAACATCACCAGCTAGGATGCAGCAGGTCTACATTGCAGCAATGTAGGTTGCCAAATGTTAGACTTCTCAGATTGTACTGCTTGTTAGCAAGTCCTTCAAATGTGAAACTACATAGACTGATAACATATCAATTCCATCACCTACCTGATTTTCATAAGCACACAGTATATTTTCTGGCTTCAAATCTCGGTGAGCTATGCCTAGGAAAAGTAATTTTTACTAAAAAACAGAATCAACCAAACTTTGGTGGGAAGACATACTTTTTACAAGATTAGTCAAGCAAAATATTAAAAAAAAAATTCTCATAAATAACTTGAACTGTACCTTTTTTGTGGAGAAAATCCAGGGCTGATACAATATCTTTTACAACAAGGCTGGCCTCTTTCTCAGTAAAAGCTTTCTTCTTTTCAATATGTTTCAGAAGTGGCCCTATGATTGCCGACAGGATAAAAGTAGGCATAAAATACAAAATTAATTTTCTATGAACTAACCCCTAAACTCCCCAAGATCTGATTGTTAATTCTCCCCTCTAGCTGTCACACATTTCCTTGTAAATTTATAATTATGAGAATTTAGTATCAGATCAACACAACCTTTATCTGATAAGTTAAAGTATTCTCATCACTTGTTTGCTGTCTATAATGCATGGATACTCTACAGAGAAGCTCTGTGTTATTCATTTCTGGAACACTTTAAAAGTTGTTATTACCTCCTCTCATCTTTTCAAATATCATATAAAACCTGAAGAGATAAAATAAAAAAACTCAGTAAAGCAGACTCTATTGCATACAGAAGGATGATTGTTCAATTTTTAGATCGTGAGTGAACTTCCCAGCTACTATTTCCCACAAAAACTAGGATTAAATCATTGAGTGATTTACTTTGTGAATTTGTTATCTCTTTTGAAACATCACTTACTTGTGACTGTCTTCAAAATATTCAATGCAGTCTACTATATTCCTGCAAAAGAAAACTGACATTTCATATTTCTGAAAGATAAGAACATTACAAGAGATGCTTATCAAATGCAGAGCGACCCTCTGACAAAGACTGCAGAAAGAAATTTGGGGAGAAAACAAAAGGTTAAGTTATGATTTATTATTTACTTTTGTCCACGGCACTGGTAGAGCAACTCTATTTCATTAAGCACACGCTTTCTGTCAACTTTTGGAGACTTCTCAATAATCTGTTGATATACAATGAAAAAAATGCATCTTTCAAAATCTACCACCCCAACACTTGAATTTTCCTTTCAAAATATTCTTCACCTAACATCCTCGCAGGTAGTGAGGAGAACACTCCCAAGATCTCATTAATAATTCTCCTTACTGTCTGCAATACAATTCTTATGATGTTAGTTTGGAGAATTTGGTATTGGATCAACTCATTGATATTTTTCTTCATTCTCATCATCCTTCTGCTTGATATTGTATTGATATTGTAAGGAGAAATTCTGCCTTGTTCACTCGTGGAAGTTAAAGGATCAAGGGATATTGATACTCAAAGCCTCAGAACAATAGCCTATGTGTAGCCGTACCCACCCTCCAAGAAAACGGGGAGGGAACTCCCCATTTTTCTTGGGGGTGGGTACAGCTACATGTAGGCTACAGAACAAGAAATCAAATTTTTACATTGTCTAAGTGAGGGGGAAGTTATTTTCAGATCTTGATCCATATAAGGAAGTCCTCTAACCTTGACAGCATACTCCTGATTTGTAGTGAGCTTGACGCAACTCTTCACTGTTGTATGGGCACCTTGGCCTAAAACATCATCCAGTACCTTGTATACATCTAGTAAAGTAGAAAAAAACAAACATGTGAAGTGTTCACTACCAAACAAACCTGGTACATTAAGTTACCTTTACAAGCAAGTACGCTCATTTTGTAGCTCATCCCAGTTTTTACATCATGAAGCAAATGGCAGTATGTTTACTCCACCCAAGATGGAATGTCATTCCATTGCTAAATTACTAGTAACCCTTTGACACCTAGGAGTACTTAACATCGAATTTATACAAACAACAGCACCTCTAGCTAAAACATTAAGGTCACAAGAATAAAAGAAATGATCCCCAACTTAAGTTATTGATTGTTTAGCAAAATCTCCTTGTCAGCAACTTAGGAAATGTACAGAGAACAGTATGGAGAATATGGATTCTGATGTTAGGTTGTAAAGGGTTTGCAGATAGCAAACGCCTTACTCTTTTTCCTTTGTTTATTGTTCTTTTTCAAACAGCATTAATTGTAGTAAAAATTGTGTGTGCACTTTCTGTTTCATTTTGTAATGTTACATAACCACCTCCCGGTTAGCTCAATGGATAGAGCACTGGACTGTTGTGCGGAAGGTCGAGGGTTCAAGCCCCGGCCGGACTAACACTCAAAGTCTTAAAATAATTGATGAGAAGAATTTTCTACCTTTCTATAACATCAATAAATGGTTAGATATTCTAGTCTTCTCGGATAGAGACGAATAAATGGAGGTCCCGTCTCCTGCAGGGTTAGGGGACATTGGAGACATTAATTTCCCACACACGAGATTACTGTGTGAGGTGGTGTATATTATNCTTGCTTTTCATTAGGCTTATCTGACAGTTTGCTGGTACCCAATTCTTATTACACGACTCGGGTAGTCAGAGGGCCAATAACTAAAATCAACCAATCAAAATGCTCTATTGCCGGTCCAATATTCTCTAAATATTAGACCGGGCACTGTCCTGAATGGTCCCGAATGATACCACACTTGTGTCCCTTTGAACTTCAGTTGTATAATAAATCTCTTATTAACCAAACTTGCCCGGGACCGTACTGGAAGAACATCGGCCCTCAGTCTTTTTTGTATAGACCTCGCTGCGCTCGGTCCTTTCTGTCAAGACCTCGGGCCAATATTCTCCCAGTATGGCCCTCGCACTTGGTTAATAAGATATATGTATTCTTGGGTGGAGAGAGCTGCTGTGGGAGTAACGTGTCTATGAACTAAGGGTTCTGAAGCCCAGATCTCTTGAACAGTCATGAGGTCACTGCAGGGCTGTGGTCTAGCAGCACCCAGTAGCCCCTGGAGCCTTACTTTTGCTCTTGGGCAACTCAGAAATTATAGGTTTTTTTCATAAAAAGCATATGCTGAGCACCCTGGATTTCACAGTTTCAGAACACTGGGCTCCCTTCAATTTTTCTTAGAGCACAGCCTTGCAGTCACTGCATCTTCCTCTCACACAAGTACAATTACTGAGTATTACCGGTAATGTCAACATCAAATAATAATACACTATCCTTTTTCCAACATAATTAAATTCTTACCATAAAAACTTTCACAGACACTGTCACTGGCTCTTTTCTTTTTTCGTTTCTTTTTCTTTACTTGAGCTTGAGGCTGAAATATATCTGATGAATTGAAAAGTTATGAAGAGTCAATTTTTCTATCATAATAAGAACAACAAAATTATAGTTCATTTATGATATTAGTTTGGAGTACTTGGTAATGGATCACCTCATAATTTCCTAATTGATATTCTTATTTCTTCTCATCACTTGTCTGCTTGATATTATATTGATATCGTTGGGAGAAATTCTGTCTTGGGCACTCACTTACCTTCTTGAGGAGGTTCAATGTCTCCATTATAGTCTAAAAGATGGTCCTTTTTAGTATTGTCACCTTCACTTCCTGTTTTTCCAGTCTGCAACTTATCTCTGACAGAATTTTCAGAATCGCTTGCTTTCTTGTTCACTACAGGAATGTGCAACTGTAATGCAAACAACACCATGATTCTAAAACATACAGACACTGTTTGAAAGATCTCAAATTTATTTCTTAGAAACTGATATGTGTCAGATTTTTAAATTGATGCAGTCCGGCCAAAGTCCCCCGAAAAGTGTTGTGATGCGCATTTGATCATATCCACATGTTAATTTGCACAATATAAATATTAAAATTATTCTTATTATTATTATTACTTACATTCAAAGAATCATGAAAGAGTCTTACGTCTTGCACTGTATTTTCTGATTAAAAAAATAAGAAACACTCAATATCCTGTAATTTACTATTCTCCTTCAAAGCTCTTGTTGAATCTGTCCTATAAGAGGATCCAGAGTGCATTTGAGGAAAGTATAAACAAAGAGAAAAAAAGACAAGATTAACCCTTAACACCCTAACATCAGTTTGCATATTCTCTATACTGATGTCTATACATTTCTTAAGGGGCTGACAAGGAGAATTTGTTTAACAATCATGAGCGTCTTACGGTGGTGATCATTTCTTTTATTCTCATGACCTTAATGTTTACTCCAGGGGTGATATGGTAGGGAAAAATTAGATGCCAGTCGATCTTAAGGGCTAAATGGTTCACTAACACCATGCCCTGATTGATACATCAATGTGTAATAAATATTAAGATAATCATAATGGATAATGTTAATATATATGAGTCTGTCATAGTGGAGAAGGTATCTGAAAAGACTGGAACACGACTCATTTCTAAAAAAAAAGAATGGAATGTCGGTGAGGAATCAAAGCAAGGGTTGACAATGTTTGCTGCATCCAAAATACAAACACAATGTAAGAGATTAATTTTGACAAGATGTACCTCAATAGATTTGGGATCTTAAGGAAAGAAAGAAAAATTTCCTAAATTCTATTTCAATCAAATCTCTGATAAGGCTAGAAATTGACTGTAACCAAAGGTGTTTAACAATTTGACATGAAATTTATTTTGCACCACATAAACCACATTAATTAAAATCTCGAAGTAGTTCCTTGTTGATATATAGACAATTAATCGCCATAAGGGCTGATATAGTTATGAAATGGCAAGAAAAATTATCATGACTTCTGGTTTACTTCAATTTTCTGCTTGCCCAGCAGAAAATTACTGAACATGCCGACGTAAACAAAATAATGTTTATAGTCCATTGCACAAACTTCCTAACTATTTCTAATCACTTCCCTTTCTTTTTCGAAAACTTGGTTTACCTTTTCCCTTGCTATCTTCGTCGTTTGCGAGCTGAAGTATACAGAAAAGATGAAATCTACTATTAAAAGTAAATATTGCAAAGCGAAGCAAACTGTCAGCTGAATTTTTGTAAAACTGCAGACCGGCCGGTAATAAGTTTACATTTGTTAAAATATGACTGAATTAAAAGCTATAAATCAAGCTTCACTTAAAAGAGATTTTGAACGCAAATCGTGTGACAGCTTTTGATAATAAGTAATGTTAGGCCATGAAAACAAACCTTGAAGTTCTTGCTGAAAACGATAAGTTCTTCCACATCCGCCATCGTCCCGCGTAGTTTTGAACGAGCAAGGTAGCCGCTCGTTTCTCCGAAGATGTCCGGAACTATCGCGAAAATCTTCCAATTTCCGAGTACGTCCGAGACATGCATAATCGGTAATCAAGTTCGGTCAATTCTCGTCACAGTATATTACTCGAAATTTTAGATGATCTTATTTATATAAATGATAGAAATTACACCTAATGAGCGTCAGGCAACAAAGGGTAACCATGAAAAAAAAAAAAAATTCAATAAAATCAAGGCATGCAAAGAGTTTAATGCAACCAAGTAACTCTATGTTTTCTGGTATGTACCTCATGGCTGAATAATAATAATAATAATAATAATAATAATAGTGATAATAATAATAATAACTCACCCGACAAGCCGAAGTCCATGTATGAGTCAGAGAATGTTAAAGCTTATTGGGATGTCCCCATATATGCTGATCAACAAGAGGTCAGATGCAATAGGGTAGATGCACGCATTGTACATCATATGTGCAAGAGAGTTGTGACGCAGGAAATGAGCTGCCCGTGGGTTAACAATCGGACAAGAAAGGATGAAGAGAAGACACTGAAGTACCGACCCCTTCGCACGGAACTAAGGCAGCAGTTCCCAGGCTACGAGGTGAAACAATATAACATCATTATGGACGCCCTCGGGGGCTGGTTACAGGAGCTGGATGTCATGATGCACGAGCTGGTGGGAGGCAGAAGCACAGACGTACTGCGAAAGATGCAGAGGGCAGTGCTCTCGGGCACGTTGAATATTGCCCGGACTTTCAAGGTGGCAGTTTGAATTCCTGTTAGAAGGAGGACCGTAGACACAACGGAAAAGCTTTTTAGGATTAGTTAATGTACATTTATTTTTTTACTCCATGGCTCACAGGTTACGGTTTTCGCCCTGTGCTGCCTGATTAGAATGTAGCATTCAGTTGATTTCTCTGCGACATAATAATAATAATAATAATAATAATAATAACTTCTATTTATATAGCGCTCATATCCTGAGCTCATGGCGCTTTATAACACTGTACCGGGGTCTTTACCGGACTACTAAGCAGTTTACAATCGATTAAAGGTAAATGTAACGATGCCCCCTCCCCCCCCAATTCCCAGTAAACAGGCCAGACCACATCACAGTAATCTCGTGAGTGGGTTCTTTAACGTCCCCAGCCTAACCAAATTAACTAATACCCATATAGATGACATAAAGTAACGCATCTGAGACGCGTCTGAACACACGTATCTGTGAGGCATCTATTCACGCATGCCACAGATCTTTAACGCATGCCACAGATCTGTAACGCATGCCACGTGTTTATCAGACCCCTGGGACCTCGGGAATTCATGCGGCGCGTTATCTGACGCATCCGTAATTTACATGTGAAGCATCTGTACTAGATGTTGCTTATCTGAGCACACGTATCTGTGAGACATCTATTCACGCATGCCACAGATCTTTATGAGAGGTGATTACCGCCAAAATTAAGTTTGGAATTTTATTATGCTGTTTGCGGATGCTGTTCGTCAAAACCTCGATGCTATTATTCGTGTCCGTATGCTGTTGTGCGAAACCTTGATGCTATTATTTATGGAACGCCAGGACTGTCTTATGTCAATTTTCTTTATTATAAGCTATGCTTTTGTCGTTACATGCAGTGCGATTGTCGTTATATGCAGTGCGTTAGTCGTTATCTGCAGTACGTTTGTCGTTATATGCCACGCTCATCGATACCTGTTCCTACCACAGCTTCATTTACCCTTGAAACCGAAAGTGACATGGAAACCACCCATGATCTCAAAAGAAAATCATCCGATGTATCACCAAGTCGAAAGGAAACTACCCCCACGGAAAAGAAAAAAGGAAAAAATAGACACTCTAAAAAGTCCAAGTAAGTTTTTAAA